TCTTCACCACATTTGCTTATTCGCCCGCTTTGTCTTCAGCGGTTGTGTCGGGAAGGTGAGCATCATAGAATGCCAATTTACTAGAAGAAAGTATTCTTGCGTTGAGGGAGTGCTTGAGTGGAGGCCCAATGTCCTACCAGAAGCACATTTAACGGGGACTTTTCGATGAACAGTTGGTTGCTGGCACCACAGGCATGTTCTAAGATGAGAGAGATGTGCTCTAGAGTCTAGAGGAACCCTCACCAGCATTGCCTGTCACGTCCGTAATTCCACCGACTACCTCTTTAGGGCAATCAAGGCACTTATTAGTAGGCACCTCAAAACTTTCCACCCATTACTCATTCTCCCCCCCCCCCAACTCCTTCCACTTATATTATATCTGTTAAAGTAGCCCCTCATTCTTCTGGTACCAAATTCTATTGGTCAACTGGTGCTGCTATCATAGAAATATCACGAGTGGATGGCTTTAACAAGCAGAAAATTTTAACTTTTCACTGTTTAGGAGAACAGAATGCCCAAATTCAGGGTGCCCACTCGAGGGAAGGCTTTTCCAGGCCGCTCAGCAGGTAGGTTCTTGTCTCCTGGCCTTCTGGATGGTCTTCAAGTGGTCTGGCACTTCCGTTTCGCTTCCCCTCTTTCTGCCTGCGCCATCCGCTCATGCGTTTCTCCCGAGAGGTAACTCGTGACACAACCGGCACAAATCCTGCCTCCTTAACGTACCAAAACCACCTGGCACCACGTGGGAGTTGAACCACAGACACAGAGGCCAGGACTGACATGTATTTGGGGGGCCCTGGAATTCACTGCCCCATGTTTATCTCCATTTCCTCAGCTGTTGAAGGTTATCTCAAGAGGAGCTGGGGTCCCACCTGCTCTCGCCGGAGATGCTGGCCTCTGGAGGGCGCCTGCTCATTGTCACTTGTCAGGAAATGTGCAGTTTGATATCCTGGCCTTCACATGCAATTTCAGAAACTCAGATGACACCAGGGGCCTGAAGGACCACATTGGCTTGGCCTAAATCTTTTTTTAGTTCGGTTTGGCAAATGTCCCAAGTGAAATTCAACTCCGAGTTAAAAGTATCAGTAGAGATAGAGCTAAGTGCATCTGTGGACTTTCGGGTGCCTAGAGCTCTGGACAGCTTAGGAACGTTAAACCAAGTGGCCCAAGGCTGACGTGAGAATGAGCACCTGCTGCTTCCATGCCCAGAGCGGCTGCCCACAGCATTGTGGGCACCCAGAGCTGGAGATCACTGGGCCTAGGTTTCTGCTGCTTGGGCTGCCCGTGAGTATCTTTAGGAGCCCCTCCCAGAATCCTGCTTTGCGCCCACCTCCCAGTCTCAGAAAACTCAGATATTGCCCCTATAAATACACGGGATTAAGAACTGCACACAATTAAACCAGGGAGCCTAGTCTCCTGTGATCCATCGGCTCCCTCACCGCCGGCCTCTCTCTACTTGCACTTTGAACTGCACTTTGGTTTAAGGTTTCTAGAACAGGGATGAGGATGAAGTTGTTTCCAAGAGGGGACCTGCTAGATGGCTAAGTCATCTGCCCTGAGCCTCCCGCTGCTGCTGGCCCTACTGGTCTTGCTGGCCCGGCCTGGGTCTCCAAGGAGCAGGGGCGGCCTGTGCATGTCCACACTGGTGGCCCCTGCCTGCACCTCCTCCTCCGGACACACTTCCAGCTTGCTCCCCCTCAGACTGCTGGTACTCCCGTTCACCAGCAGGAGAGGCACTCCACTCCGTGCCCTGCTTTCCAGCGAGGGCTGGGGAGAGCTGCTTGGAAAAGAGGGGGCCACAGGGGTGGGGACTGGGGGGCAGGGCTTCCTCCCAGAAGCCTGCTGCTCGGCCTCCTGGTTGGCCCAGTTCTGTTCTGTCATCAGCAGGTGGTGGCACCTGTTGCAGTATCTGGCAGCGTGGCCCTTCCCCCGCTCCTCTGCTAGGGCTACCATTTTGAAATCTGTTGGTGGTGGAGGTGCCCCGGGGTACCCTGTGGCCACCGTCTGTCCCAGGGAAGAGGCAGAGTGAGTGTAATAAGGGGGAAATCCCAGTGGGGCGGGGGTTGGGGTGGACTGGGAGGGGAGGTGGAGGGGATTGATCCCGCCTGGCTTTGGGGCCACCGGACTGTAACAGTTGGTCATGCCTTGTTTGAGTTTCTTCCAGCCCAGGTGGTAGATCTCCAGCATGTTGAGTAAGAGGGACACACAGGCCACCACCAGCATGAAGATGATGAAGATGGTCTTCTCCGTGGGCCTGGAAATGAAGCAGTCGACCGTGTTGGGACAGGGCCACCGGTCACAGCGGTAGAGGGGTTTCAGCTCGAAGCCATAGAGGAAGTACTGCCCCACGATGAAGCCCACCTCGAAGAGCGTCTTAAAGATGATGTTGAAGACGTAGGTGCGGAGCAGAGCGCCCGCTATCCGGACCCTGCCCCGGTCATCCCGGATGGGCAGCTTCTGTCTCTTCCCTGTCCTGGCCAGCGGCTCCTCCCCTCGCTGCTGCTTCTCCTCCATGCGCACGATGTGCAGCACGTGGCCCAGGTAGATGAGGGTGGGCGTGGAGACGAAGATGATCTGCAGCACCCAGAAGCGAATGTGGGAGATGGGGAAGGCCTGGTCGTAGCAGACGTTCTCGCAGCCGGGCTGCTGCGTGTTGCACGTGAAGTCCGACTGCTCATCGCCCCAGACCTCCTCCGCGGCGGCTCCCAGCACCAGGATTCGGAAGATGAACAGCACCGTCAGCCAGACCTTGCCAACCACGGTGGAATGCTCTTGCGCGTTCTCTAGCAGCCGTCCCAGGAAGCTCCAGTCACCCATCGCCCCAGACTCCTGGCCTGTAATGAGACCACAGCACGTTAACCAAACTTTACAAGCAGAGAAGCTGCGGGGTGCAGCCACGCCGAGTACCCCGCGATAGGCCTTGTCTGTGACCGGCCACTAGTCTACAAGGCTGGCGTGGGAGCCCAGGGCATCAGAGAACAGTCCTGCAGTCTACTTCCATAGAGACTGCAGCCCTCCCGCGGGACCCAAGCTGAATCGACTCTACGCTCAAGTATTTCTTGCTTGTTCCACCTCCGAACTTTCTTCTTGGGCTCTTTACCTATTGATGGTGGTCTTTTCTTTCTCACTCTGTATTTTTACATTATTATGTTCTTCTTGCTGCTTTAATTGTTATGATTTCTGTGGGCTTTGCCGGTTTGTGAAGAACCGAAGGAGTGGATGCATAGAAATAATAACTGATGTAATGATTTACTGGGAGGGTGGGGGTTGTGATCATAGATCGTGAGGATGTACATACAGCCCTTTTAAACGTGATCTAACCATGCATGTGTAGGATGTGGGCATATGATAGCAAGACAACTACTGGAAGGAAAGAAAGAACCCACGTGACCAATGGTTACCACGGGTGGGGAGGAAGAGCCGTTCACCGCCGGGTACTGAGTTGACATTAATGGTGGAGGAACAATTTGGAAAAGCCTATCAGTAATGGTTGTATAACATGAAGCGTGTATATAACCAATGCCACTGAAGTATGCATGTAGAAGCTGTTCAATTGGAGAATATTTTGTTGTGTATATTTTTGCCACAATTAAAAACAAATTACACGAATAACACTGTAAGGAAGAAGAAAAGGTTCCAGAATTGATTGTGGTGATGAATGTACTTCTTGATATGACTGAATTATTGAATTGTATGACATGTGGATGGAGTGCCAATAAAACTATTTTAAAAAAAAAGAAATAAAGAAAGTTTTCAGCCAAAGAAACCCAATGAGCAGCTGTGTGATGTAACAATGGGGCTTGCCGTGAGTGGGAATTGGCACGACAGCAGCAGGCCTGCTTCCGGCTGGTTTGATTATCAGAGGAGGATTTATTTGGTAGCTATCCACCCACTTCTCTTTGTGGGCAGTACTAGAGAACTTGCTCTAGGAATGCAGGCTTTACCTTGACGCATAGATGAATACTACCCTTTGTGTGCGCATGTACCATTGGAAACAAAAGAGCAGCAGCAAAATCCAGTTATTACTGAGTGGAGCTTCCTACTCAGACTCCACAATGGGGCTGTCATTCTCCCTGTAATTATGTAGCAAAAAGGAGCCTTCTTGACACATTAGTCAAGTGCTCAGCTGTAACCAAAAGGTCAGCAGTTCAAACCCATCACCAGTTCCATGGAAGAAATATGTGGCTGTCGCTGTCTAAAGATTCCGAGCCTTGGAAACACGAAGGGACACTTTTTCCCTGTACCTTTAGAGTCCTTATGAATCAGAATTGACAATCAACTCAATAGCAACGCTTTTTTAAAAAAAATATTACCTTGCAGAGCAAGATGAAGTACTTATGGTTCCAGTGGTAAGTACGGTTTGGTGTCAACTTGGTTGGACCAGGATTCTCAATGGTTCGATATTCAAGACCAAGCAACATCCCATGATGAGCTCTAACACTCTACTCACCTCCAGAAGGAGATCTGCTACGAACAGGCCATCAACTGGAAGGGCATTTCCCTGGGGGTGTGGCCTGCTTCCACCCAAGTGGATACTGCAGGAAAACTTCTTTCTTTGCTGGGCCTGGATCCTGTATCTGACTCAACAACCTCCATTTCTTTGGAGTTGAGCCCATGACCTGCTGGCAGTTGGAATCATTTATTTGCCTCTGCAGCTACAAGCCTGTTGTCTTCTTGCCAATCTTGGGTTCGTCAGCCCCTGCGGCTCTGAGAGTCAGGAGAAGCCTTCTGCCTAACATCTGACCCACAGACTTGGAACTTGCCCAGACTTGAACTTCCCCACTTCACAACTGTGTGAGTCATTTTTCTGTAAAAATGTCACTGGCTTTGTTTCTCTAGAGGACCCAGCCAAAGACCATATATATCCCTTCATACTACTGAGTTATGTTCCACAATTCAACTGCTATGGATAATGTATATATAAAGCACATAATCTTAGGTCACTCAAACTCCACATTCAGAGATGGGGAATCTAAAACTAGGAAGATAAATGACTCATCGGAGAGAAATGACTCAAGGTAGAATCAAATCTACCTTGATCTCTTCACTCCCCATCCTGCTCTCTTCCATACAGCGCTCATCTCTAAAGGATATTGAGGTTCTGTGTACATCCCTAGAGCAAACTCCCATTCCTGACCTCTCCATTCATGTGAAATTAGAGCAAGCTTTCCTCAAATTGCCGTCATGCCCATAACACTTGCATGATTTCTGATAAAATGATTATTACCATTCAGTTTGCTGTGCTGTGATGCATGCATGTTGCTGTTTGCTGGAAGCTACACTCCTAGTATTTCAAACACCAGGAGGGTCACCCACAGTGGACAGATTTCAATGGAGCTTCCGGACTGAGACAGACTAGAAAGAAAAGCTTGGTGATCTACTTCTGAAAAGCAGCCGATGTAAACCCCATAAAAACCAAACCCACTGACACCGAGGCCATTCCCAATCTTAGCAACCCTGCGGAGGGTTTCGGAGACTGTCAGTCTTCCTGAGAGCACACCACCCCATCTTTCTCCCTCGGAGCCCTGACCCTGTGGTTAGCACTCCAGCGCTTACTGACAGCACCACTAGGGCTCTGGAAGGAAGCTCTGGAGGTCTACTCCGGAAAGCAGTCAATGGAAGCTTTCCAGAGTGGATGACAGAACATGGTCTGAGCTTTTAATCCACTTACTTCGAACACATCATTGAGAAGGACACTGTATTTGGAAAGCGAAGGGCCGTGAGGACAGGGAACCCTCCAAGGCCATGGATCGGCACAGTGTCACCACAGTGGCCTTAGACCTACCGGTGGTCATGAAGGTGGCAGAGCTACAGGGGCACTTTGTTCTTTTACACGAGGCCGCCACGAACTGGAGCGGACTCAATGGCCCTAAAATCGGCTACTTCTACTACTATTTATTCTTTCTACCAACTCTATTTTCATGCTTCTGTTTATTAAATAAGCACTTTACATCACTACTACTATAGGAAAACCAGCATTTATGCCATGAAGGAATGGCAGCTCTAAGAATAAATACATCGATGACAGCAGAGATTTAAACATTCTACCAGATATTCTAAGTTGCCAAACGCTTTGAGTAGAGACTCTCTCTTTTTTTTTTAAAATGAGACAGAGAATTAGAATGTGTTAAAGACATAGTGGTATCAAATGAGATTTCCTCAAGGTCACAAGTAAGATAGAAAACGAAAATAGAAATTAATTTTACCACCATGCGATTGAATATTTATTAATGTACCACCTCAACTCACATCACCTGTCAGAGACTGTGATAGATTTTGGGTCAACTTGGCTGGGCCACGATTCTCTGTGGCTTACCCCTCATAATGTGATCAGCATAATGTAATCAACTCCTTGATAGGATCTGCTGTGAGCCAAGCATTTACTCAGGCAATAGCCCTGATGCTAGGCTCTTGGGGGGTGTTGAAGCAGATGCTGTGGAACACTTCATTCTTCTTGCTGGCCTGGAACCCCACATCTCTATGTCACCAGCTTGCGGTTCTTGAGCTTCATATCCCCTGCGGACCCTTGGAGCCGTCAGAGCCTGCTGACCTTGGGTTCCGTCGACTCTGCCAGTCACAGGTCTGATTTGCTGCCGTCCACCAGCCTGTGCGTCTTCTGCTCCATCTTCCTTTTTCTTGATCCCAGCAGCTGCATGTTTCAGAACGAGCCTCTCCCTAAACATGTGACCCACAGACAGGAACCAGACTTGATTTACCCACTTCTACAACTGTGGGAGCTATTCCGCTAGATACAAACACTCTTTCTATACCTATATAGGTGCTACTGGCTTAGCTCCTCTAGAGAACGCAGCCGAACACAAAGACAATCATTTTGGTTGCCGTGGAAGACAAAGCACCACCTGCAAGGAAAGGTTAGGGGCAGGGGGTACAGATGCAGGCATTCCAGTCCAGCCCCAGCCTTCCCCACTGCCAGTCAGTCAACAAATACCACTCAGGGCACAGCCTGCCTCAGGCTCTGTTGGGGACTGGGGTGGCAGCCTTATGCCAGGCCAATCAAGTCCCCCTCCTCAGCTAGGCCAGGATGCAGAGCAAATCGAGGGAAAATGCCAGAAGGCCACTGTGCAGGGTTTACCAAAATCACCTGCCCATGTTTAGCCTATTGACTACACCTGAGGCAGGTGTCCACAGCCTGCATTTCAGTCACCCAGCTACACTGTCTGAGTCCAGGCCCACGCCATGAACATGCCGCGAACATGCCGCGAACATTCCGCCAGCGGGTTTACAGGCCACGTGTCTGTGGGTAGGTAACCTACCTCCTACTTCCCCATGTGTGAAAACAGGGGAAGGTGACATAGAGCTTGTGGTGTATCAGGGGTGAAGGGAGGTGAGCCCTCTGGGCAGAAGGCTCAAGGTGTCCTCAGTGTAGGGACACCCATTCAGAACCCTCCTCCGAGTGGCTGCTCCTCCAGCTGCTGAGAACTGGAAGCCAAGAGCTGTTCCCATTCTGGCCCTGATGTCCCGTTCAAGCCAGAAAGCTGTGGAGTTGTAAGTAAGTGCTGGGCACGTACAGCTTCTCTCACGTTGAATGTTCACAGGTTTTAAAAGTAGTAACTTTACGGAATTGGTTCTATGTTTACCCTGTCCCCGCCACACAAAAAGGCTAGACAAAACTCTATTTACCAATAAACTACAGAAATAGAACTATGTTAACTCACTTTGAAAACAAACTTTCAACTTTTTGTTGGGTCGTCTGGCATTTTTAAAGAACGTTTGTTATTTACATATCCTAGTTTATTGGAGCCCTGGTGGTGTGGTGGTTACCCATTGGCCTGTGAGCTGCAAGGTCAGCAGTTCAA